TGTCAAGAGTTTTTAATTCTTTTGTAAGCAATTTGGTATAAACATGCAAACTTGGGAAATGATCATAAACTCATAAAGGCCCATAACTTAAACTAGAACACAAAATCAGTGAAACTCAAACAACATAACAGGTGGGAAATTTGTCTGAGCATGCGCGAGCAAAATGAGTCACGCAATTGAGTGGAATACACGCAACGCGTGTTTACAAAAAGGCAGAATCGTGTAAATATTGCCAAATGTTTGTACCGAATAAATGACTGTTTTATGTTGAAAATGGACATGATCTAAATTAATCATACAGAATTTTTTAGTGACGTTCTATTTCAGTACCCTGCCATTGTCTCTGGTGGGTTGTCCGTGTGCATTCGATCTGAAACAGTTGCTACTTTGCTGTCGAAGAATTTCGAATGTTTACATGAAAATAGAGGCAAGTCATGCATTTTACAACCTCTCAAACTGTATGAGCCCCTATTTTTACGCTTATACCTAAGATATCAAATAAAAGTACATGAAACAGAGAACATTTGTAGAAAGTTTTATCGTGAGGCCACGGCCAGTTTTTAAAATATCTTTATTTCTGTTCCGGTCATCACCAAAATTACACAAAGCCGGGCTTGAATATACAACAAATTTTGAATCTCATCAAGCACAAAAATATTTAACGTGTAACCAAAATATGCTCAAGAAATCGAAATTAATAGCTAAATTTTCAAACTAGGCCCTTCTCGAGCCGGTTTTCATGAAGGAAGTTCACATTTCGGCCTTTGATTCTTGGCAAAAATTTGACCACAACACGTGCGAAGCAACTGGGTCTCAAAGACTGAACTAAAACATTGTGAGCCCCTATTTTACTGACGATATGTTTGATACCTACAAACGCCGAAAAGTTTTTTCTTTTCATTTAGCTATATTTGAAATTGAGGCCACGGGCTATTTTTGAGAAAATACAGTTCAAAGTCAAGCTATTTTTACATATTTTCAAAATTTGTCAAATTTCGCGAGCTTGTATTTTGAACTTAAACAGCTGAAGTTACATTAAGAAACATAGAATGGAAAATTTGAGGTATATAAAGTTAATTTCAACTCACATTTCATTCTCAAATCACGTCTTTCTTCGTTTATTACGGTTTTAAACAAGCCATAGATCGACGTATACGGTATTTACTCCCATGTTCACGTCGCCATATTAACTTCTTCCAATCATGCGATTACAAGACAATCATCCCAAAACAAAGAATTCATGATCGACTTTTAAAAGAATAACCAATAATTTGTAAATCGTTGAATGGAAAGCAAAAAATCGTCAGCTAAAACAGCTTCTTGCTAACTTTCTGCTTTGTTTTGAATGTAAATGCAATGAGCTTTGTTTCTGCCCGCAATTTTTTGGTCAGCGACGACAAATTTCCCACCTGTTCATCGGCGACGAATCAGGGTTTGCACTGAATGCTTCGGTCAACACCCACTAGGTCAGTCTTAGGTCGGTCCTAATGCGTTTACACTAATTACTGTTCTAGGTCCTAGGTAAGGTATAGGTCTTTAGTGTAAACACTGTTTAAGGCAGTTTAAGGTAGTCTAATGTAGTTTATTATAAGGTACCGTAAGGTAAACTAAGGTAGAGGCTATGGTACCCTAAAGTAGTCTAAGGTACCCTAAGGTAGGCTACGGTATACCCTAAGGTAGTGTAAAGTACCCTAAGATTAGGGTAAGGCAGGCTAAGGTACCCTAAGGTATGCTAAGGTATCCTATAAGGTACGCTAAGGTAAGCTAAGGTACATTATAAGGCATGCCATATGTAAAAGTATTGTATGGCTATTTCGGTTGCTCATGATCATATACCGAGAAAGCGCCAAAACGTCGCCTCTCTAACTCTACTCTAGCTGTCACACATGTATTTTAAGTCGTAGCATATAATCAGGGCCGTAGCTAGCATGTATAGTTGGGGGGGGTGTAGGCCAAAAATTTTCGAATGACGAAAAAAATTTCCGAATCCATGAAGGTGTTTGCTATCTGGAAAATGAAGATGCAATTTACAAACAAAAAAACACATAGTTTACGCAAAGACAAATTACAGAAGCTTGGAATGCCGTAGGAAGGTCTTTTTTATTGGGGGCTGGGAACGAGGGCCGAAGGCCCGAGGAAATTTTTAAATTTAGATTCTCTGAAATGCATTTCCTGGACTTTGGGTGGGGAAGTTTTGACAGAACTCTGATGGTCAGAAAACAGAGTTTTAGTATGATATTTGTGATGTTACTCTGAGTATGCATCCACTGCGGGCAAGCTGAAAAGTTTGCTTGGCCACGGTGGGAGTCGAACCCGCGGCCTTTGTGATACTATTCCAATGCTCTGCCGAACTGGGCTACGTGGTCAAGTCGGTTCGAGTTGTTAATAGAGTTTTAGTATGTCGAAATTTACAGTTTGCTTACAATTTAGTAGAACTAAATGGGCGAAGGCGTATTTAATTAACTATGTATTGCAGGAAAGAGTATGGGTAATATGATTCTTTGCGGTTTGTCATGGATAATGTAGCCGCCCCTTATGAGTGAAATTTTGATCTAGACAAGCCTGGACAAAAATCACAAAATTAGTAATATTCCGACGTTTCGTTGCGAAATGTTGTAAAATGCGGATAATATAGCCTTGCGAAGTTTGCCGTTTTTCAGTCATTTTGTATTACAAATGGGAAATTGGTAATCAGTTTGATCATCTGATCATCTGATCATTTGACAATTTCCGATCGGATCGGATTTTAAACATTAGGCAATTGTCGGATTATAAACGTCCAATCCGATCCGATGCACACCTCTAGTCTATTGTCAGTATTTTAAAGGTATATTATTCAGTAAATGATAAAGGTGTGCATGATTTTGAAAAAAGAATGATTATCAGCAAATTATTGTAAGGGCTGCTGCCCCCAGTCTCCCCCCCCCCCCTCCCCCCGACTGCTACGGCCCTGAGAAGTAATAAACCGAAGAACATTTACCGTAAATCAGTTTATACCAATGGTTTATACTGACAATACCATTTATAATATTTTCTCTGTTTAAACAATTAAAATTTTGTTATACTATTATTGCCGTAATTTTCCGAATGGCCAACCCGATTTTCCGAATATGTTAATTCTACAAAAGTTGGGGGGGGGTTAACCCCCCCCCCCCTCGCTACGGCCCTGCATATAATGGCCTTCCATTTTTTTGCTTGGATATAAATATACTTATCGCTCTCACTGCGCAGATAGCAGAAATTTTTTGGGGGATCACTTTCCGTGGGAGGCTTGGTAACCGCGACTTTTACTCAGGGTACATATTTGGATTTGTTGGGACACTTAATGTAAACTTGGGGTTATTCAGGTACTCATATAAAGTCTATTATACCATCCTGATTATCATTAACCTTTAGCGGGAAATATTTAAATTTTCCGGAAATAAACACTAACGTGTGTGGCAATAATAGCCTGAAGTAAACTGAATTCGAATGCTGAAGTACGAATGTAAAATCTATATATTAGAAGTTACTACAACTGAATTTCTGTATCGTCCTCAGCTTCCACAGTTTATAATGCAAAATCGATAAACGTGTCTTGTTTACATTTTGCATTGCGCGCAGGCAAATTTTGATCTTTGAATTTTGATACGCCTATAAGCATTATTAGACTTGTGGTTTGCATATTTGTCGGCTAGTATAATATAAACATCACGTTTTCAACCGAGACTATCTCATCTGTGACTCACACAGTATTAGTAGTGCACAATATAATACAAACACTGAATCTTTTAAACCAAATTCATACCTAATTGAATAATTTGAATGTGAACGTTTCTATCAGTTAAATGAGGCCCCATTAGGGGGGGTATGGGTATTCCGTATCCCTGTTATTTTTCGTTCAAATATCCCGTATTCCTATAATTATTCAGTATTGTATCCCTATAATGCCAAAATTAAAGAGTACATAGGACATGGACAATATATATATCCCGTATCCCTCTAATATCCCGTATCCCTTTAGTATCCCGTATCCCTCTAATTTTTCCCTTAAATATCCTGTGTCCCGATAACCCCTAATGGGGCCTCTTAAATGAACTGCGAATTAATAATATGTCTATATTTCGAATACCATTACGGCCCATTACGCACGAACTTATGACCTTTATACTAGCATATATCTCAATATTTATGGTATATTTTGATCTATTTTATAAAAAAATTGTACGTAATGTGTTCTCTTTTTAGTACATTTTATTTATGGGTACAAAGCTTTCGGAAAGACGCGATGAATAATGCGTCAAAACCGCAGCAGTTATGTAAATAAATATAGAATATATAAGTTGCGTCAAAGTATTCGACCGCAATCTATTTCCTGCTGTACAGGCTTCCTATATTGCATCATAACAGGCGCGGTTACCAAGCTTCCAAAGAAAGTGATCCCAAAAAAAATTTCTGCGCGCAGATACTGTAACTTGTCCCTTCACGCCATTTCACGGATAATTCTCGGATATTAAAACATATTAAGCTACATACTAATCTAATAAGCTATATTTCGTTGAATTAGAAGCAATTAAATTCGACGGAATTCGACGCCTAAAACACCACACCTAAAGTTCAACTTTCGCTTTCGATTATTGGCACTATACCTACACTGGCACAGACAGTTTTTAGATTATATGACATAAACAGTCAAAGAATATGGTCTATTCTGCACGTGAAATATTCATTAACAGAGATAGAGTCCAAACAATATGGAGAATGCAGATAGTGGCAACTTTACAACATGACTTATATAATACTGCATGGTGGCTGGTTCAATGGAATGTGTCGTAGTGTCGTATGTGACATGAATGTTTTATATATACTCATGCGCTTTATCTTTGTTCTGCCAAGGCTCCTTAATCCTTGGGGATGAAAACCTATATAAAAATCACTTTGAATGACCACCACAACCTGTTAACACTAATAACACATTGTTCAAACTATACATAACAAACACACATTAATTAATAATATACCTTTATAAATGCATGGCCATGCAATCAATCAATCAATTGGATTTCACGTTGCCTTCCATGGATTATTTCACATCTTTTCCTCAATTCATGTCTGGAAGAAACTCTAGTGGCAGTTCAGCCCCCTGATCGAGACTTTTTCATTAGCTGATAGTGTTGTTCAGTTGCTACCAAGCGAAATGAAAAGCGCAACAGCCGACCACTATACCGCTATATATAGTCCTTCTGCTTTGAGCTTTCCGACAAAAGATTGAGTCAGTGATAGTGGAAGGAAATTCGGGTTAAATATATGCATGAAAGTCAACCTAATACTTGGAACTGTGGATAATACAGAGAAAAAATAGTGCATGCTGACTTGAATAATTAACACGAACCTCCTACGCACAGAAGCACTCGAAGTTGCCATGGAGTACCGCCAGGGGGCTATTATATAAATTGCAAATCAAATTTCATTCTTGTTATAAATTAAAGCAGGAAGCATAACAACGGTGATATTATTTTGTGACAGTATGTCTGACACTTCTGCTAGCGAAATAGTGGAAAATTAAAAACCAGTTATAATCATTGAACTTTACAAACTTAGTTAAAGTCCAGAGAAATTGGTAGACCCAAAGAAGAGAACAGAATACTTGATACTTGTGCAAGATTATATCTGTGTAGACTGCCTAGTCGACAGTTGTATTAACATGGGAAAATTTGGCCGTCGGGAAGGAGCAGACACAAAAATGAAATCAAAATTACGCCACGGTTTAATGGGTGTTGTGATCTTCGATCACCAGGAGGTGTGTACTAAAGCCAAGGCTTTCGTAACATCCATAGCAAACGGTAAGATATTCTTCAAAATTTCATTATTAAGTGCGAAGTATTGAGCAACCGGAAGTGAGTCGAAATTTATTTCCTCACCCTGTTGAGCAAGCCGCTTCGTTGATTCGGATTGACAGAATCTTTAACATTGTGATATGACATGGTACAGTACAGTACATAATCCATGACTTAAACAGGTGAGAACGTGTAGAACGTTTTGAGTGTGCGTGCCTAACAATGCGCTGTCATACGAACTAGCCGGCACCGTTTTTCCCACCACGTACAAGTCTTCTCACAAAATGGATAAAAAATGGATAAAAAAATGGATAAAAAATGAGCAAATACGAATCCGATAAAAAATGTTAGTCAGAATCGCACATTTTCACCGTTGAGAGTTAGGTATGAATTTCACTTCAATAAACGACGCACATATTTATAAATATTATTAAGTAGGAATAAATCTTAGCTAAGCTACGACACGTTCGTGATTAATTGCTTTTTCTTTTGTTATGCATTGTTTTAATTAGGCACAGAGGTGAAAATATGCGATTTTGACTAACATTTTTAATCGGCCTCGTATATGCTTATTTTTTCTCCACTTGGCATGAAAAGCATGCCATGCAACAGCTAAAAGCCTGACTCTCCGAATATGAAAACCAATTGTTCATACGCCGAGTAATTCACGTATAATAGCGCGCTGAAGTTCGATTACCTTTTTTGATACACCCTGTATACTATATATAAGCACCCTGGTCACACCTTTATATTAGATCGGATCATATTAATGTTCTTGGTAATTTTCGTTCGCAGTGATGCAATGAAGATAGGGGTAAACGTGCATAAATCTTAAAGTTGACTATAGTTACCATGATTGCCAAATTATTAAGACGCTACCAGATGTTCGAAGCTTCTTAGAAATTTTCTGTAGTAAAATGTCAATCTGTTTATCGAGACATGCAGATATTATTTTACATGGCATTTTTTAAAATTTACGATATTATAATAAACTCTGAATTATGTATATAGTCGACCTCGTCCTCGTCCCCAGGACATTTTGCCTTCGGCCCTCCACGCTTGAAGGTCGGCGAAAACGGTCCTGAGATCGGCTGGTCACATAATACCCAGAATTTCTGGGTATTTTGATACGATAATTTAGTGAAATTAAATCTTGCTGCGTTTGTTTACGAATAATAAATGAGAAGTAATGAACAATTTGCCAACTTGTTCATCTAAAGACTTCATTTTAAGAGCAGTATGCTTGCATAAATAATTCTTCTTATATCCATGAGTCCGACAAACACATAGACATATAGTACAGCAAATATAGGATGTAAGTGAATCTTCACTATATACTCTCGGTATTTTTTATAGCACTAAAGTTGGTTAAAAAAATTATACTGCAAGATTAAGAATGCGTTTTTGAAAAGACTAATAGGATTGTACAATTGATCATCCGATTCCAGGGCCATTTTCGCCGACCTTCAGCCGTAGAGGAACCGTAGAGGCAAAATGCCCTGGGGACGAGGTTGTGTCTACATGTATAGTAATATAATCCCACGCAGTGGTCAAAGTAGGTTAATAAAAATAAATGGGAAGTAATGTTGTTAATAAATGTGCAAACACAGGAAGATGCACAATATTCTTCTATATATACACGCACTCATGATGTGTAACTTCCCACACAATGAATTAAGGAACACACCCCCAACGCCTTGTCGGAAAACCCATATATAGCTACAAATTTATACACACGTTGCTATTTTAGAATATTTTCTAGATGACGTACCAGTTTTTCTTGTATGGTGAGGCGGCCCATATGGAAAATGCAGCATTTTGTTTCGTTCTTGAGCGGTCGGTAACCTGCAGTACGGATCGCTTACTGATCTCATAGTATGGACTGCTAACATGGACCGCTAGGGAAGAAAAAGTACTAAATAAGCAGACTGAGATAGTACTCCCAACAGTGGCGTGCTGGGTACTATTTTTCTGGAGGGGTCAGTGGGCTGTCAACCAATATGCGCCCCTATAATGTTACACTTGATAAACGAGGGCCGAAGGCACGAGCCAAGTGCCGCAGGTGCGACGTTTGTCTAGGGGGGTCCGGGGGCATGCCCCCCAGGAAAATTTTTGAATTTAGAGTCTCTGAAGTGCCATTTCCTGGACTTTGGGGGAAGATTTGACAGAAATCTGATAGACAGGAAACGGCATTATAACGTGTCGAAATTTGCAATTCGGTTAGAATTTAGTAGCAGTACTTAAATTATGCAATGCTAACTACTTCCAGCGATTAATCTAATCCCAATTCTGTTCTCTACTGTTCTGAGTACATTTACAACTTAAAACTCTTTTATACAATAACACAAGCAACCCACGCATATGCATTTTAAGGTTTCCTTGCCTGGCTGCCAAAAGGGCATGTTTCAGCATTATTTCATTGCTTACATTGCTCATGCTTCTTGTGCAAACAACTAAATTGCGTACACAACTAAACATCAGTTATCATAACTTCAACTATCTAATTTGCGCCGCTCTCGTGATTCGTGAAGCATAATAAAGGGCATAATATAAGGGCATAATACCAGCAAAAAAGGGCATAATTCCTGTGATCGCATCGATCGAAACCTGACCAATATTCCGGTGATGAGACATTGCCTGTGATCACTGATCATGTTTCTATATAAACGATTTCGTGTGAGCTGTGAGGTAGCAAATACGGTTATAGGCAAAATAGTCTGTAATTTAATATATGTCGCCTATATGCGCTTAGTCTGTTTTATACTGTAGCCTATAAACATGTCTTTTCTTGGCGGAAGTAACCATATTTTTTCGAGAATGCGTTTTTTCCCACCCACTTTCAAAATTCGGCGCCCCATTTTCATTTTTGCGCCCCCCAAGAATTGCCAGCTGGGGGGGGGCCGTGGCCCCCCGGCCCCCTCTGCCAGCACGCCACTGACTCCCAAAGAAACTAAAATATTTAATACTATTCTACTCTTGACTCTTGTTTGTGCTAAGACGTTATTCACATGTATAAAAACTCTTTTCAGAACACTTAAAACGCCGTTGACTGATACTTACTTGCCGCCATTTAACGTTAAGTTAACCTGGACTGAAAACTGCTTTGTTTCCGACATTAGAATCCGAAAATCTGTTTGTACCGTTTCACAAAAATTTAAAATCCTGCATTTTTAAATGTTCAAATAGTGCTGTTTGACCCAGATTTTCCTTCATATATAAGGGCAATTATAAAGTGGGGATCGACTCGAGCACGCGTTTAAAAATTAAGAGACATCCGGCCGCAAACAAGCTGTCTTAAGGGCAGGGACAATAGAATTTTAGAAGTGTTTGAGACGTGGCCTTTTTTCGTGCTTTTCCAAGGACCGAATGTGAACGTAATTTCTCAGTGAAAAAGTAACTGTCTGAGTGATGCAAAACAAACCAAAGGTTCCCAAACTGGCCATCATGTTACGCACCGCCTGGAAAAAATTCCAAAAATTAGTTAATACATCAATTTCAAAATTTGATACATTCACTGCAATATGAGCAAGTAGTAATGCAGAGATCAGAAGATTAATGATCACTCTATATATTGACACTACACTTACATCAAGGAATTAATCTCCATTATTTTTCTCCATTTTAGCTGCTGTTTCACTTGCCAACTGGTCAACGAATGAAGAAAACGCTGCCATTCAAGACACCTGTACAAGAATGTATGAACTTTCTATGCTTCTTTCTAGTGTGATGGATATGTTCTCCAAGGAGGTGAGTCAGACCTGCAGTTACAGTCAATTTGTGCGAAATGTTTGTATTCTCCTTATTTGCATTGTTAGACCTTTCAGTATAAGCTATTTAAATTTAAAGACCTGTTATATACTGTACTCCGTTATACAGTACTCCATGTCAGTTCTGTATTTATTTGCAGGATTGCTATTCTCATTTTGTCAGTTATCGCCTTGGTTAGGTGTAGATTTTAGTCTTATTTTTTTCGTTTACTTCTTTGATAATAAAGCTCGGCTGCCGGTTGCAGCAAAAAGTTTCTTGTGTAACATGGTCTTTACACAGTGTGTAACTTCTTAATTAAAATTGCCGATCAGATGCAATACTGAAGTGGTAGCGTTTCAAACGGTCAAGAAGTACACGTTGTTGGCGAGAACCTCAGTCCTTACCTGGACGGGAGCTAGAAAAATTGTTAATTAGTTATTGAAAACTAAAATATATCATCATAAATTAAGAAAAAACAATTATATACAGGGTGTCTCAAAAAAACCGCTACCCTTAGAAATTCACCATTGTTCTAATTTGAATGCCCGAACCTTGTTGAAGCCAACAAGGGCAAATAATGTTAGCCAATCAGCGCGTTTGTTTACATTTTGCGTTCTTGACCAATCAGAATGCCTGAAATTCGAAACATGTAAACAAAAGGAGTGAGAAAATAACACCTTGTTCTACGCCCTCGGTGACATTCGATATTAAACTTTTTTCGCCAAAACTGACAAATTCTGATAAAGCATGCTTTCTTCTTTAATTTCCTCGGGGGGATTTTTTAAATTCGATCTAGAACGCGAAATATTTATGTTTGAATAACAGTGTTTCGACGCGCGTAAAATAGCAGACTCTCACTTGCACTATCTTTACACACACATAAAAAATTGGTAGATTTGGCGGTTTAAACTTATTTTCCCCACACCACAGCTGACATGTTTTTAAATATTACCTATCTGATCTCATCGATCTCATTTCGCATCGGAAATGCGTCACAACGATCCAGGACTGACAGGTACAATATCGCATGACTCATTACTGTACATTAAAAGTACATATCCGGTTGGCAAAATGGCGATTGTCTGACTGACGTTCGCGAAGGGCTTAATATTTTTGCTAATGAACTGTTCACGAGGGTTTCGTTCTGTTCGTCTTCTGGTTCGTCGTCAATCGTCATCGGCTGCCTCACTTTTTGGTCGCTTTCGTCCTCTTCAAAGCAAGTCGCCGGGGCAATCAGCGTTGGTATTTGCTGTCTTTCGAAGAGCTTCAACGTTGCTTTACAAACTGGGCTATCGCTGATGTTGGGCAGGATGTATTTGATGTGGAACGAAGGTCCACAACCACGGAAAACGTTCCAAGTGGATTAACCTTTTTGCAGGCAGGCAAATCGCAAATCGATGGAAATTTTAAAGGAAGATTTAATATATTTTATATTTACAGATCTTGATACATTTATAGTCAGTACGTCCTTGGAAATTGTTCCAAAATATGAGTGTGTACCAAAGTTAAAATATTACTCATAATCTCTAGAACATGTTTGAATGTTTTGAATCACTGCAGTTTAGAATTAGCAGTCCTTTAACTCTTTTAAAGACAACAGAACTGGCAGCCATTGCACCCCATAACTATTTAGTGTACAATACTATTATACTAGTCAATGTAATTAATTACTACCTCCCCCAACCCAGAAGTAGGCAGTTTTTACTTATCAGCACTGTCACTATCTGTACATATCTGTGTGTAAATATCTGGTTTGTCTCGGTGACCCTGATTTGCCCCACACATTATATTATTTGCTCTGTATGTGTGTGTGTTACTTTAAGTGTACTCTGGTTCCAGAGGCTCTTTGCGAGGCGAAAGAAACAAGATGCGAGAACGGAGAGCCTCTGGTCACATCAGGGCCGTATCACCAGGGGGCAGTAGGGCTTATATGTTGAAAAAAGTTCCAAATATCCAAAGAATAATTAATAATGACATTCTAAAAATTGTAAATATAGTTTTCTTTAGGAGGGCAGTTTCCCCCTCCTGCCGCCCCCTCCCCTGTGCTGTGTACAGCCCAGGGTCACTGTCCATTGCGAATCCCACTTCCACACTTGATTAGGTTCAGCATTTGAATTTCGCATGTGATTGCCCATTTGTTAAAATATGCCAAACTGGCTTGGGAAATAAACATTGCTGTAAGCTAATTATAGCCTGTATTAAAATATTCTATTAAACTCAACCAAGAATGTATTACATGTCCTGCAAAACTGATTAATGTTGATATGTTTATCTCCTGAGAAATTTAATACCTTTTCACCTGCGGGAGTATTAATATTCATGCTTGGTTGAGTTTACTATAATAGCTTGGGGCTTTTTAATTGGGGCTTCGGTGGCCAAGTGGTTAGCGCATTTGCCTGTCACCTCTGAGGCCGCAGGTTCAAGTCAGTGAGAACTTTCTCAATGCAACTCAAACCCAGTCCTCATGTGAAAAGAATAAACCGCAACACTCTGCCGAACGTCACAGGTTTTCCCCGGGTACTCCAGTTTCCTCCCACATGGAAAGTTGACAGGGTGGGTTGGGTAAAAAGGGCTCACAGTAATTGGCATATGCTGGTGTGGTGACCCGGCCCTATTTGGCATGCTAAATAGATAGATAGCTATAATTAGCTCACAGTAGTGTTTATTTCCCAAACAGGTTTGACATATTTTTACAAATGGCCAATCACATGCAAGATTCAAATTCTGAACCTATTCAAGTGTGGAAGTGGGATTTGCAATTGATATGATCAGAGGCTTTCCATTCTCACCTCTTGTTTCTTTTACCTTGCAAAGAACCAGGGTACATGTAAGAGTAACACACAGGCAGACCAAGTGCTGCAATTCAACTAAGGGCCTGTTTATATGCAGGAAGCCGGGCTTGGCCTGCTTAGCGAGACAGGCAGGTGGGATGAATTTCTCTTGTGTTTATATGGGAAAATTTCATCCCGCTTGCTGGTTTTGACAGTTGTTAAAAATAGCTTGCGGTGGTATCTTTCATCCCAGCAACTGGGCTAGCCCGCTTGTGAGTGTTTATATGGAGAAATTTCCACCCCGGTAAGCGAGATCTCACCTCTTTTCAAGTGAGATCTCACCTCTTTTCAAGTGAGATCTCACCTCTTTTCAAGTGAGATCTCGGCAACCTGGCCAGCCCACTTGTCCATATAAACGCACAATAATTTTACTATAAAAATAACTACACAGCGAGATCTCGCTTACCGGGCTGTCTCACTTAGCGGGCCAGCCCGGCTTCCATATAAACAGGACCTAAGTACCAGTCAATATAAGTCCCTGCTTGCTTGAATCTAGGAAGTGTGGGGTTCATGGGGCAAAGCAGGGCCACTGAGACAAAGCCAGGCATTTATAAAATCCAGCAATTTTGATTATGCAGTGCTGGGAAATAAAAACTGCCTACTTCTGGGTTGGGGGAGGTAGTAATTTACATTGTCTGGTATTTGTACACTGAATAGTTATGGGGTGCCATGGCTGCCAGTTCTGTTGTCTTTAAAACGACTGCTAATTCTAAACTGCAGTGATTCAAAACATTGTCCAAACATGTTCTGGAGATTATGAGTAATATTTTAACTTTGGCACACACTCATATTTTGAAACAATCACCAAGGACGCTGACTATAAATGTATCAAGATCTGTAAATATAAAATATAAATCTTACCTGCGATTTGCCTGCCTGCGAAAAGGTTAATCCACTTGGAACGTTTTCCGTGGTTGTGGACCTACGTTCCACATCGAATGCATCCTGCCCAACATCAGCGATTGCCCAGTTTGTGAAGCAACAACGTTGGCAAATGTTGAAGCTCTTGGAAGGTCTTCGAAAGACACGGCGACTTGCTTTGAAGAGGACGAAAGCGACCAAGAAAGTGAGGCAGCCGATGACGATTGACGACGAACCAGAAGACGAACAGAACGAAACCCTCGTGAACAGATTATTAGCAAAAATATTAAGCCCTTCGCGAAGGTCTGTCAGACAATCGCCATTCTGCCAACCGGATATGTACTTTTAATGTACAGTAATGAGTCATGCGATATTGTACCTGTCAGTCCTGGATCGTTGTGACGCATTTCCGATGCGAAATGAGATCGATGAGATCAGATAGGTAATATTTAAAAACATGTCAGCTGTGGTGTGGGGAAAATAAGTTTAAACTGCCAAATCTACCAATTTTTATGTGTGTGTAAAGATAGTGCAAGTGAGAGTCTGCTATTTTACGCGCGTCGAAACACTGTTATTCAAACATAAATATTTCGCGTTCTAGATCGAATTTTAAAAATCCCCCCGAGGAAATTAAAGAAGAAAGCATGCTTTATCAGAATTTGTCAGTTTTGGCGAAAAAAGTTTAATATCGAATGTCACCGAGGGCGTAGAACAAGGTTTATTTTCTCACTCCTTTTGTTTACATGTTTCGAATTTCAGGCATTCTGATTGGTCAATAACGCAAAATGTAAACAAACGCGCTGATTGGCTAACATTATTTGCCCTTGTTATTTGGGTCAGTCTAAACGCCAGTTTGGTACACGGAAGAACATCAAAAGGCTGAACGAACATCAAATTTAGACAAGGGAAAATCAGCTTTAGCCGAACATATATGTTACACCAAACACGCGATTGCGTGGGAAAACTCTAAAGTAATTACCACAAACAATCGCTATGGTCAAAGACTTTGCCTAGAAGTGTGGCATATAAATATGAGTAATCATGCTTTGAATAGGGATAAGGGTGCCTATTTGCCAGAGGAATAATGCATCTCATTGGCAGGTGACGTCATCCCTTGGGTATTTAAGAAGCCACAATTGCAATTTTAGATCACCCCTGATGAAGACACTAGACTGGAGTGTCGAAACGTTGTGTCTTGATTGGAATTCGGCTAGCTAGTGAAACATGAAAGTGTCTACATAGTTGCAAGAAATTTATTCGAAAAGTAAGTAAGAAAGAAAGAAAAAAATTGAGAGCTTTTGATTTGAAATTTTTGACATTTTTTATATTTTGTAGTTGTCGTATGCTGCCAGCAGTGTTGAATTTCAAGATGATTTTAAGTACTTCACGTTGTTCACAAATGTTCCATCAACATCTGCTTTCAACAAAGCAAGACTCTCTCTAATACAATATTTTGGTTGGAAGAGGGTCGCTGTTTTGCGAGAATATGATGACAAGTTGCACTCCGAGGTATGATAGGTTTTCTTGGAATTTCGTACGGTGGTGTAAACTCACTTCTAATAATGCCAAATAATTACGAAAACTGTAGAAAAACTTTAGTTGCGAATTTTGTAACGGATTTTTCTGTAATTTAAATTTTCGTATTGCGAAACTCAATCTTAAATTACAGAAAAATCCGTCATGAAGAACAAAAGTGTGCGCAGGGGTAGAAAAAAGCTGAACCAGGGGACCATTTGGTCCCAGTCATGTTTAAGTTACAGAGAATTTTTGGATACAGTGAAACGTAACATAGAATGAATGACATAGATCAACGAAAGAAAGAAAGAGTTGAAAGAAAGAAAGAAAGAAAGAAAGAAAGAAAGAAAGAAAGAAAGAAAGAAAGAAAGAAAGAAACACTAGCAAAACAAATAGGTGAACTGAATGAGAAGGGTGATATGAGGTCAACAAGTTCTGGAGAGCAAAGATAGCCAAATTTAACCATACAGTTTTAAAGGCACAGTTCAGCCTTTTGAACGATGGATTTTATTTTAAAGGCGTATTCCATCCCTTTTAATTGAAAAAACTAATTAGGAAAATCAATTAAGCATAATTCAAGATCAGCAAATGTTTTTAATATTATAAACATTAAGTTTACTGATCTTGAATTATGTAGAATTGATATTTTCCTAGTTCGTTTTTTCAATTGACAATTCCCATTACAGACTAATTTTAAAACTAGGCAAGGAAATGCAAATAAATCACACAGCTAGAAAGAGCATAGTAAAATTAGTAATATTACAAAGTTTGGTTGCAAAATGTTGTAAAATGAGGAAAATATAGCCTTGCAAAGTTCGCAAATTTTGTATACGTGTAGCCTACTTTTGCATTGCGTGCGGAAATTCCTATACCGAATTGGGCCGAAAATGGTAGGAATATCAGTACGCAATATAAAAGTATACTAGAAAATACATGCATGCAGAAACCCCTCGCTGACAAAACCATTGTATTTTCCGCAG